TACATCTGTTTACACCTTTTTAAAACACACCGGAGATATAGGACAGACTATTAAATTTGTCTGAAATTTCTGATGATATTTAAGTCAAAAATTTTGTTGTTCACGCTTTTTTATCCAAAAATTTTTTAAAAAAACGCAAGAATATATTTAAAGAAAATTTTATTTATTCTAGCATATAATATATGAAAATGACAAGTTGAACATAAATATCAAATTAAAAATATGTTAAAAGTTAGATTGTGTCAAAGTTTTGTAAAGGATCTATATCAGCATATTAAAATTTGAATGTCTATTATTTAAGTAACACCATTAATATCAGTCAGAGAACAAGCAATACGTGTCATCAAAGGAAGCCTATAAACCTGAATTTTATTATTCATAGAGAGTATCGTAAATTGTATGAAAGAACTTTGCGTTTAATATTAATATTTGCAAGAACTGTGCTTACAAATCATACAAACGGAAATTTTATTACTTTAAAAGGCCTTCCATGTCAATCCAGAAATATTGATTTGAATGGCTAATAAACATTTATTTTATTAAGTATTATACGCTTTAAATGTAAAGCAATTATTATTTTTTTTAAATGAGAATTGTCGCAGCTGATGCTGAAATTTGGGCCTATTTTATGTGAAATTTTAAAATTTTTTTGGGTGATTTTTTCGGTTTTTTTTTAGGGTTAGGTTAGAGTTTTGGGTTAGATTTGATATTTAAAGAATTTTAGTAGGGCTTATTTTTTTAAATCGTGACCCCAAATTTTAGTTTCAGCTGCGACATTTGTTTTTTCGCTTCATTCTGAAATTGAATTTTATGCCAGCTAATAATAAATATGGTTTGCATTCTTTCATTTCATGTACAATATTTTAATGTTCTTGATATTCTACCATAAGCTCATTTATTCCATAGGTAGTATTAAGAATTTTGCTTTTCTGTGAAAGAAAGGTTTTTTTTTCTTTAAAGATACTGTATTTATTGATCAAAAATATCTAAATATTCTTCATGAATTTAAAAATAGTCTATTAAAAAAATATATATACTATATATGTTTTATTATTTGTATAAAATCTCTATTTAGACTTCTAATAGTCTGAAACCAACTTATGATTTCGAATCCACATATTATACTCTACTTACAATAATACACTTGATAAAGGTTCTTAAATTATGAAAAAAATGGTCAATTTTTCACTTTTAATAATTTCAAGTGTTCAATGCCATATTTTCCAATAATGAATTTGATACTGAACAAATGATCTCATTTGTATTATAGCTACTTCCACACCCAAAAAACAACTTAGCGATACAGAAAACCTTTTGAATGTAAAACATACTAATTTATTGACGAAATCAATTTCGTAAAGAAACATACACTGGAATGATATCTACTCAGGACCCAAATTAATTTTGTATGTACTGTACGCAATGATTAAATTTTATTTGTTTTCCATAAATTTTCTTACAAATTAAACACACCAAACAAGTTGGACAAGTATTCAAAAGGAAACTATTAAAAGTTTGCTTAGTAAACCTCATTTTAGCTTCTATGTAAAGTTGTAGAGGAGTGTCTTGCAATCGAAATGGCGGTTAAAAAGTTAAAATCGGCCTTATTTATTTACCGGAAGTTGACGTTAGTTGTTGCTGTATTACGATATTATAGAATAGAGTTGGTGAAACTGGCGAATATCTAAAATCTGATTGGCTATTAATTATATCAGCTAATCAGATATAAATAGTCATCAGTTACACCAGCTAATTAGGTTCACCAGTAACGTAGAATAAAGCTATGCTAGAGTAATAATAATTAAAATTAAAGCTGCAACTTTAAGCAGCGTAACATTTATGCATAAAAGTAATTACAGGCAACGTTCAACATCGCAACGCCTTGCAGACAAATCCGCTTGTAATTTATCATTCCTAAATGATTTATACCAAGCGAATTTCGACTTAGAAATTATAGAATATATAAAACATTGAAAAAAATGGTAACGTAAAATCAACTTCAGAATTCTAAGTGATGTAATTCGAATTAATGTTTGGGACCAGATGTTTGCCTGACGTTACCTATAATAAGTTGTACCACTCGTAGTGATGCAAAACTCAATAAAACAGTAGTACACATGCCTTAAGTAAATTTAATTGTTAATTCAGATTTTTGCTTCTTTATCGTATTTAAAATGAATCATAATAATTCAGTTGATCATGAAGAATCAACTGATTTAGACCCTTATACCGTTGGATACAATTATGAATATGGGGTAGGAGTTGAAAAGGATGAACATAATGCATTCATTTATTACCAAAAATCCGCCGATATTGGTAATGTTAAAGGAATAGTTAAGCTTAGTTATTTTTATGAAAAAGGAATTGGGGTTGAAAAGGATGAACATAAAGCATCCATTTATTATCAAAAATCTGCGGAAATGGGGGACGCATTTGCGCTTGGCAGGTGCTATCAAAAAGGAATTGGAGTTGAAAAGGATGAACATAAGGCATTCATTTATTATCAAAAAGCTGCAGAGTTGGGGGACGCTTATGGAATGAATAGTACTGGATATTGTTATGAAGATGGAATTGGAGTTGAAAAAGATGAACATAAGGCATTCATTTATTATCAAAAATCTGCAGAGATGGGTAATATTGATGGAACATATAATGTTGGATACTGTTATCGAAATGGAATTGGAGTTGAAAAGGATGAATATAAGGAATTCATTTATTATAAAAAATCTGCAGATATGGGGGACGCTGGTGGAACATTTAATATTGGATATTGTTATCAAAACGGAATTGGAGTTGAAAAGGATGAACATAAGGCATTCGTTTATTATCAAAAATCTGATGAGATGGGGAATGCTAGTGGAACAAGTGCACTTGGAGTATGTTATAGAAATGGAATTGGAGTTGAAAAGGATGAACATAAGGCATTCGTTTATTATCAAAAATCTGCAGAGACGGGTAATATTGATGGAACATATAATGTTGGATATTGTTATGAGAAAGGAGTTGGAGTTGAAAAGGATGAACATAAGGCATTCGTTTATTATCAAAAATCTGCAGAGATGGGTAATATTGATGGAATATATAATGTTGGATACTGTTATCAAAATGGAATTGGAGTTGAAAAGGATGAACATAAGGCATTCGTTTATTATAAAAAATCTGCAGATATGGGGGACGCTGGTGGAACATTTGATATTGGATATTGTTATCAAAAAGGAATTGGGGTTGAAAAGGATGAACATAAGGCATTCGTTTATTATCAAAAATCTGATGAGATGGGGGATTCTAATGGAACAATTGCACTTGGAGTATGTTATAGAAATGGAATTGGAGTTCAAAAGGATGAACATAAGGCATTCGTTTATTATCAAAAATCTGCAGAAATGGGGAATGTTAAGGGAATACATCAAATTGGTCTTTGCTATTTGCAGGGAGAAGGAATCGAAAAGAATGAAAAGAAAGCATTTGAATATTTTAAAAAATCTGCAGATATGGGCTTTATTAGAGGAATTTCACAAATTGGTGACTGTTATCGAAATGGAATCGGTGTACTGAGAGATATACAACGAGCAAATCATTGGTATCGAAGAGAAAGAGGCGTGAAAAAGATAAGTAAATTATCTTATGATAACATTGATGATAATTTAAAAAAAAATATTAGATGATGAAAAGTATCAACTATCATGGATTCCTTATAACGAATTTAAAGATATAGATGAGATAGGAAAAGGTGGATTTGCGACTGTATATTGTGCGGATTGGGAATATAAAAATAGTGAAATTAGGACATCAATTGCACTTAAATTGATTCACGATTCAAATAAACGCATTCAAGATTTTATCAATGAGGTAATTTAATGTAATAATCAAGAATTCATTAATGAAGGATTAAAATAATTATATTTCTTTTTAATTTAAAAATTTTATTAATTATAGTTGAAAACATATTGCCAGATCGGATACGAAAATCCATCATTCTTAAAATGCTATGGAGTATTAAGAGAAGATAAATCTAAAGATTACATTATTGTTTTGAAATATGCAAGTAAAGGCTCATTGAGTCAAAATCTTTGTTCTGTAGCACAAATGAGTTGGGAAGATAAATTGAATTTGTTATATTGCATCGCTTCAGACCTTGAATCAATCCATTCTCAAGAATTAATTCATCGAGATTTACATTCTGGCAATATTTTGCAAGATCATTTACATAGTGCATACATTACGGATCTGGGACTTTTGATATCATCTAATACGAAACAGGATGGAAAAATTTATGGTGTTATGCCATATGTAGCACCTGAAGTTCTAATGGATAAGCCGTTCACACAATCGGCAGATATTTACAGCTTTGGAGTCATCATGTACGAGGTTTCAACCGGAAGAAGAGCATTTGATGGTGAATCTTTCAACACTAGCCTTTCAACAAAAATCTGCCGTGGAAAAAGACCAGAATTTGATGAGAGAACACCTGATTGCTACGTTAAATTTGCCAAGAGATGCATGGATCAGAATCAGAGTAAACGGCCCGCGGTATCTGTTATTACTCATAAAATTGGACATTGGCTTGACGAGATGGGTCAGGATGATGATAATGAAACCAAAAAGCAATTTTTAGAAGCAGATAAAATTAAGTTTAATATCGAATCATCAAAACATCCGAATGACATGTATGCCAGCAAACTCATCAACACACGAGAGATAACGAACAAATTATCAGATTTGCCTGAAATTCCTGATAATTAATAATCAATATTTTGCTGTCCACGTTTTTTATCTAAAAGAAACAACAGAATATATTTAAAGAAAGTTTTATTTATTCTACGTAGTATATAATATATGAAAAAATGGGTATAAGTCGTAACACAAATATCAAAACAAAAATTACATTTAAAGTTCGAGTTTAATTAAAGGATCTATATCGGTACATTAAAATTTTGAGCGTCTATTACTTAAGTGACACTATTAATATCAGCCAGAGAACATATTTTAATGAATATGATATGTTATTACGTAACGGTAAAGGTAATGGATGCCGTCAAAGGAAACCTGAAAACCTGAATTTTATTATTCAACTTATCGACTTAGCGACGTATTATAAATTGTACGACGTTGAAGAATTTAATAATATAAGAATTGGCATGTATGTGTACATACTTACAAATCTTACAAACAGAAATTTTATCACTTTAAAAGGCTTTTCATGACAATCCAGAAATATGGAACACATCTGACTGATAAACATTTATTTTGCATTTTACGAAGTATTATATGCTTTAAATGAAAGCATTTTTTTAAATAAGAATTTACATTATATAGAGTAATATATTAATTGTCATCATATAAATAAAGAACTGTTACAAGTCAGTCACTCTTGTTATAGTGATCTGCATCGTTAATAAAAATTTTAAAAATATTCATAATAAATCAAAATTTTATCAATAAATTTTATTATATCAAGAATTTGTTGTAGAAATATCTGTAAATTCTGAATCCATATAAATGGATTTTGAATCCTAAAAATTTAAGCAGAAATTAAAAATTTTACTATGATTTAATAAAAATACGCTATTGATGTATAGATATAAAAATTTTATAAGCACATTTATATCTTGAAGCAACTACAATTAAACATATAAAAATAAATCTCTATACAATCTTATTCTCTCTATAAGAGTATATTTTTTTTAACAATGCTTCTATAGGCCGATTGTATAACTATAGGGGAGTGCAATTTAATGAAGATGACATCCATTACCATATAATAAATTAGAACGGTATATTTATTTTTTCACTTAATTTGATGTCAGATAACGGTAAATACGGATTGTTTTCTTTGCTTAATGTACGGGGGAGCCCTAATTTCTCCCCAATTGTGATTGGACGCATAAAACCTGTCTTAATAAACTAGATCACGCCACCTTAGCACAGCTGCAAAATCAAAAACATCGTTTTTCTTTAATAAAAAAAAAATAAAAAAATTCAAACTATTTTTTTTTATTTATGCACATCCAGAATTCTTTCTGCTGGTAAAAAAAAATATCGAAATAATATAAAAATTAGCGAAAATAAGTACTTCTGATACAACCAAGAAAATTTTTGAGTTTTTGTTCGGTACTTTATTCTCAAGAAATAAAATTTTGCTAGACCTACGTTTACAAGCTTGTAATTTTAAAGTATACCCAACTCACGTTTCAAAATTCCTTAACTATATTCGAACATTTGAAATATTTCAAGTTCATTTTTATTGATACTGATACAATACTGCAATTAAATAAAATGATACTGCAAATTGCTAATTAATATATTTGTTTTAATACAATAATGTAACTCAAGTTCTCAAAAGCCATTATCCCGAAAGGAAATAATTAGTCAGTATTTATTCTCTGAAAAATAGCCCTGATACAATACTACAATAGGTGCTACGCAATTTTCTAATTAGCAACAGTAATACTGAAAATAAATTTTACTGCGATTGAGATCTTTATTTTGAGCTATCGTTGCAATTGAGCATCACTACAATTAATAGAAAATTACAGTAATAGTAGCGTTTGAGCATATCTCAATAATATATTCATTCGTATTATTGACTTTTATCCAAAATTATTAAGACAATACATCATATTATTTTACTTCTCACACTAAACGTTTTTATGAACGATAAAAAAAATCAAGAGGCTCAAAAAACAATAGCCGATACTTATCATCTCCTAGCTTTTACCAATATGGCAACAAGTTCAACTACGTCTTTGACATAAATTTCTAAATAAATATGCGAATAACACCTCTTTGTATTCAACAGTAGCTTTATTTACAACAAATGGTTTCATAAAAAATGGAGTGGCGGGATATTGTTGTTGGAATAACATATATAATTGGTGAAGTCAGTAAATGGAGCAACAGGGGCTGCTGAAATTGATGCTTCGCCAGAATATTTTCGATAATTCACAGCATTTACTTCTTGTTTAATGGTTGGTTTTGTTTTTTTTTATTTTCGCTTTTTTATTTATTTTTTATTTTTGACGAATAATAAAAGAACCACTCTAATATTGATTGCAATGTTTATTTAATTGATTATATTAAATGAGTACGATTACGATCACTAATTAATCACATCGAAGATTGTGCTTGAGAAAATTTCAATTACATCATAAATTACATATTCGAATTCTCAATAAAAATTTTATGTAATTATAATTTTGCTTGAATGCCATTGCGATCAGTTGCTAATCACATCAGAATGGCGCTTGAGAACACCCAAAACTTAGAACCTGCATTCGTAATATTCAGTTGACTTTAACCACTCAATTAATCGTGATGATTTGACTAGTATCTCGATCATTAGCTAATTACATTGAGAGAACTGCTTGAGACACCTTGAAACATTGCTATTTAAAAGACACATAATTGGTTTATTACCTGTATAGAGTCACCATTTAAATTTTTCATAGTTTGAAATTAACTATGATAGTTATAAAACATACCCGCTTACAACAGTACACACGTTAAAGATTCTAAAACAACGAAAAAAAATTTTTAAAAAATTTCATTTTTGCACTTTTAAGAATTCAAATATTCAATGCCAACTCAATAGTAACAGAAATAAGTTTTGATATAATGGTATTCAAATATTTGTGTTCAGACTACTTCCACACCCAGCGAACACAGAAAATTTTTTGAATGTAAAACGTAGCTGTTTAAACACTAATCTGTTTGTCGAATTCTATTTTTAAAAGGAATATATATTCGTGTACTATCTATTCAAAATTAAAAAAGAATTTCATAACCGTACCGCTATGATTATTTATTCTATGATGCTGTTGAGTATAGCTGGGCATTTCGGTTTAGATCTAGGTCTTTTTTAATTAGTTAATATGATACAATAATATACTTAACAATATTATGTAAACGCAAAAGTTTTTACTAGATTCAATAATCGTGTCGTAACAAGTTGTATCCCAAATTTATGCATCACTGGATAGAATATGTTTGAATCATAATATGATAAGTAAATCGAGTATTTACATTAAACAACTTTTCAAGTGATTGCGTTTCCAACCCATGTAATGTTTGTTTCGTAGAGTTGATTAATCTTTAAGGTATTAAATATACAAAGCGAAGTGGGCGCAGGTTTGGGTTTCAAGTTTCGAAACATCGACAAATGTCAATCTCCACTTTTTCTAAAAAAAAGAAAATTTATTAAAAATTGAAGTTGCAACTTCAAAGCGGCATAACATTTATGAAACTTCAAGCAGTGATCGACTTCACAACTAGAGATGGGCAAAGTCGGGTAGTTTCAAGAACAGTGAACCCAGTGATATCTTCGTGATAATACATCAATGATTAAACACTCGGCCTAAGCTAGGGTTAGTGTTAGGGTTAGTGTTATGGTTAGGTGATAGTATAGTTTAAGCCAATTTTGTTAGTGCTAGTAAACAAATGACGTCATTTCATGATTTCACATGATATGGGTTCGTTTTTCTTATTATGTAATATTTCGGTTCTAAATATAAGAGAAAGAAGACATACCTATGATCCAAATACCCTCTCGCCAAATAAACCCGCCTCTTTCGACTAAGCCGATCGTAGGTTACACGACGTCTCGGATAGAGAAGCGATCGACTCGCCGTTTTCCTGGTGTCACTATAATAATGACGTAAAAATAAGCTACGCCTTATGATGTCTGATTGCAATCATCGGTTTATGGTTTATAATAAAACCAATTCGTAATTGGATAAACGGGACACTTGAAGAACAAGGTACCCAGTGATTATCACATCACGTGAAATAATGCAATTACGTCATTTGTTTACTAGCACTAAACAATTTAGCCTAAACTAACCTATCACCTAACCCTAGCACTAAACCTAACGTAGGCCGAACACTCAATTATGTGATGTGATTACCATGAAGATATCACTGGGTTCCTTGATCTTCAATCTTCCCGGATAAACTAGGATATAAATAGAATAAAGAGATTTTTAAGCGAAATTAATTCTCTTTCTCATTAATAATAAATTTCGAATAAAGAATATACAAACACTTTCACTCCCATAAAGGTCGTTGGTGTAATTTTCAAAGGTGGTAACATAGTTCCCAGAGCTAAAGTAAGGTGTCATCCAACGTTGTGTTCGTTGACGTGTTCCCAAATTGACCTATGTCATAACTAGTGCGTCCCACTTGACACCTAGTAATACAAAACTCTATATATATTATACTAGCATTTAAATAATTTTTACTGCTAATTCGGTCTCTTTGTTCTTTCCCATATTTAAAAATTAAAAATGAATCATAATAATTCAGTTGATCATGAAAAATCTACTGATTTAGACCCTTATACCCTTGGATACAATTATGAACTTGGGATAGGGGTTGAAAAGGATGTACACAAGGCATTTATCTATTACCAAAAATCTGCTGATATGGGTAATGCTAAAGGAATAGTTAAGCTTGGTTATTTTTATGAAAAAGGAATTGGAGTTAAAAAGGATGAAAATAAAGCATCAATCTATTACCAAAAATCTGTGGAGATGGGGGACGCATTTGCGCTTGGCAGGTGTTATCAAAAGGGATTTGGAGTTGAAAAGGATGAACATAAAGAATTCATTTATTATCAAAAATCTGCAGAGATGGGGGACGCTTATGGAATGAATAATGTCGGATATTGTTATGGAAATGGAATTGGAGTTGAGAAGAATGAGCATAAGGCATTCATTTATTATCAAAAATCTGCAGAGATGGGGGACACTAATGGAATAGGTGGTGTTGGACATTGTTATCGGAACGGATTTGGAGTTGAAAAGGATGAACATATAGCATTCATTTATTATCAAAAATCTGCAGAGATGGGGGACGCTTATGGAATAAATAATGTTGGATATTGCTATGCAAATGGAATTGGGGTTGAAAAGGATGAACATAAGGCATTCATTTATTATCAAAAATCTGCAGAGATGGGGAACACTTATGGAATAAATAATGTTGGATATTGTTATGTAAATGGAATTGGAGTTGAAAATGATGAACATAAGGCATTCATTTGTTATCAAAAATCTGCAGATATGGGGGACGCTGATGGAACATATATGGTTGGAAATTGTTATCGTCATGGAATTGGAGTTGAAAAGGATGAACATAAGGCATTCATTCATTGTCAAAAATCTGCAGAGATGGGTCATGTTAAGGGAACACATCAAATTGGTCTTTGCTATTTGCAGGGAGAAGGAACCGAAAA